TTAATAAATAATTGAATTATTATTTCTAATTTATTTATTTCGATTGTATTGTTTTAAAATATAATAAAAATAAAACAAAAAATAACAATTGAATTGATTTTAATTAATTCTTTTTTACTTAAGATAACAACCCTCATTAATTTTTAGTTAAAATAATAAGTATTGTGTTTATTTTTTTTTTCCCTTTATTCATTACTTTTTTGATTGAGTTGGTAAGTTAAAACCGAATTATAAAATATGATATTTACAATAATAATGTTTGTTTAAGGTTGACGTAAAAAAAGGTAAAATTGATTTTACCTATTCGGGTATAAAGTATATTTTTTTCCTTTTCACCAAAAAAATACTAAAAAATAAAAATAAAAAGTTTGTAATAATGTTTATTTATAAAACTTAAAGACCTTGATGTCTTTGAAAGAGCAAGTGAAAAAAAATCAGCATATGTAAAATAATTACAATATTATAAAATCATCATTATTCACAAACAAAATATTAAATGGCCATTTATTATATAAAACAAACAACTGTTATTTTCGATGAGTTATTTATATCGTCTAAAACGTTTGGGGTTGTTTATGAAAAAATAATTTATTAATGTTATATTGTAATATTCATTTGTAATTTACACAGATTATATCATAATCATTTTTTATAAATAAATGAAAAACTTGTTAATTTTTATTGAAAAAATAATGTTGTAATAACTATGAATGTTGTAATAAATGATATTATGTGCTCTGATATTATTTTAAAAAACTGTGTATTTTTTAATTGACAAATAAGCAATTAATTTGATTAATTACACAACAAAAATTATTTTTACATGATAACTAAATTAAAAAAATAAATTCTATCAATATCAGAAAGAAATTATTATAATTCTAACTCTTTATAATCTATTAGTTGCAAATTCAACAACAAATGATAAGAAGTTGATAGACAACGACGTTAATACATACAAGATTTATTAAAAACAAGAACTTTATTTTTTTAAGAGTGACTTTATCATATGATTATTTGATATATACAAATTTAAAGATTGGGTAAATTGGCTTTAAACTGATTTTTTGTTTGTTTGGTGATATATATATAAACTAATGAGTATTTTACATTTTTATTGTTGTTTGTTACAAAATTCAAAAATTATATACAAGAATTTTATTTGCTTTTCAAAAAAAAACATTAAATGACAAAATAAATTATGTTTTTATTATTAGTTTATTGTCTAAATAAAAGACCAAAAATGTATTACTTGAAAAAAGGTGAAGAAAAAACGGCTGGATCAAAAAGATCCACCGAGGTAAAATTTATCTTTTATGCCAAAATGAAAAATTTCATGGTAAAATAATTTTACGTCAACCTTATGTTTGTTTTTAATTTTAAGTTTTTGTTTAGTTTTTGAACTAAAGTCTGACACTCAATAATTACGCTATCTATATAACCATTTTTTATATTTGTGTGTTTCAACTAAAAGAAAAAATTTAAAACATACTAGAAAACAACAACAATTCGTTTAAAAGTGAATTAAATACCTCATTTAATTAAAGTTTTCTTGGCTTCAAATTCAGTATCGATATTGTTTTTTATTTGTTTAAGTGCTTCAATATCCCCAAACACAACGTTTTCCAACTCTTGTTGATATTTGTTGAAAGACGTTCCAAGTACCCTTTTCTTGTTATTCAAATTGATTTTAGCCTTCTCCCATAAAAAGTTACTAAACTTTTCCGAGTTGTTCCTGTAGTTTTCTTCGAATATTTCATATTCATTAGATTTATTATTTCCATTTAAATTGCTACTATTATGAATAGTTAACTCGTCCAAAGTAACACATCCATTTTCATTTTTCATTAAATAATATTCTTTTGTAAAAACCACTTCATAGAACTCATTCAATTCGTCTGGAAGTTCAATAGAAAATTGGTCTCCAGCGATCATGTGTTTTTTATGATTGACATTGATTTGACTTTTTCTCCAATTTGGTTCTAATAACAATGATAAGTACATTGCGCATCCTATTGAGCTTGAATTATTACCGTTCAAGTGAGTTTGAATTGGTACACACTTTTTAATTTCATTGAGTACTGGCGATGGTCTCCACCCCGATCCAACAACTTCACAAAACTCAATTTTTAGATCTCCCAAGTACTTTGTTGTCGTATTTGAAATAAACTCACACAACTTCTGTGTTTCCTTTGCGACTGTATCTCTATATTCTTCATATGAAATTTTAATCTCATACGAGTCATCGATCGTGTTCAAATCACTTTGAAAATACTGCGCGTCACCACAAAAACTCTTTTTGACTTTAAGAATGAAGTCTTTAGGTACTTTGACGTGGTCACTGCCAACTTTATCTTTGATCAGTTTTTCAAGTGGAGCAGTCAAGTCGTCGTTACCAATATCAATGGAGTTGTTTGCAATTATTTTAGTGTTATTTTTGCAATTTGTGAAGAGACAGAAATCCGTGGTCTTCACGCCAATATCTAAAATCCCAAAGACTTTATATGTGTCGTTTTCACGTGACAAAAGAATTTCAGTGAGTGGTCCCAAGTACATCGGCACAATCACTATTTTCACGTTGATCACTTCGCCCGCTTTAATAAGCAATTTTGCGAAGTCGACATTGTGTTCGTGTGGTCTAAGAGCCACTGCGGCAATTTCAAAGTTCGTTTTGGTTTTAATGAAGTTCAGCATAATAGCAACTACGGTTTGACAAGTCAAAGTGCCATACATTCTTTTGTCAAAATCGTATTTGTTATTCTCAAAACCACTAAATATGTGCTCGTATACAGTGATTTCGTTAATACTCTTTTATGTTATTGTTTTATTTTAAATAATTAAAAAAATAGTAACTAAACAAACTGTGGTTTTGAAAAAGGGATATATCTCTCCTTTGTCAATTGAAATGACATTGGGAAGTGTTTCTGGGTAATTCTGGATTTTCAGAGTTTCAAAATAATAAGGTGTTTTTGTTGAAACAACAATGTTGTCATACCCCCAGTCAATTCCTATAATAACAGGAAGAGGGTAAGGTACTTTATTATCTTCTTGTATTGTAGGGCTTTGAACTACACAATTTTCTTCGTCTTTTTGAATTAAATAACTTTGAGATTCACTGGGGCTAACTTTGTTAATCAGTCGTGAGAAATAGTAAATAAGTAATATAATTGTGAGTATGATAAATAAAGCAACCACACTTAAAGCTACAATAGAAATGGTAGAAAGTGACATGTAGATTTTTGAAGTTGTGAGTTTGGAGTTTTTTTTAGATTAAAAAATAAATGATATTAATTTTTTTATATTATAATTCATTTAACACTTAAAATAATACCCGAGTTCTTTTGGTAGACCATTTTTACATAAATATATAAACAATTCCCCCCTTTGGCTTGTTTAAAGGAACAGAAAAAATAAACTTCTAAAAGTTGGGAGATTTTTTCTATAAACAATAAATTTCCCGTTTTTAGACAATTTGACTTATGTACTTGTTTATAAAAGTGTTAGCTCGTCGACTTACCAACTCCCAATTGACCAATTCTGCTAAAAATAGCAGTTTTTTAAATTTATAATACGATGTAGTTTAATTGTAGTAAAACGAAAATGAAATAACGAGTTCAAATCATGATTATAAAAACAAATAAATTGAGAAAAAATTTAAATATTAACAAAAAAACATAAAAATTGGCAAAAAGCAAAAAAAGTAACTGAAAAAAACTTATGTTACCAAAAGTGGGTAATAAGTGGTAAAAAATTTTTTTTTCAATTATATTTTGTTATTTCTTTTTTCAACAAAAATAAAACCATCATTTTCTATTTGCCCAATTAATATTTCAAAGTGTTTTGAATATGTTGTTAATAGTGTATTTATATTAGAGATAATAGATAATTTAATATATGTGTCTGATTAATGAAATCAGGAAAAACCATTTGACTATTTTAAAGTGATATTTTTGTTATTCTAGAAACAAAACCCGTTCTAAAAAAATAATAAACAGTTCATTTATCGTAATTAAATATAAATAGCCTCTTTAATGATGATTAATCACGAAGTAATTAATTATTTTGTTCTCTGTATATACTTATTTTTTGATTATTTCAGTTTTCATCGTAAACTCATCAACTGTATTTACATGGGTTGTTATTTTTAAGATATATGCTCTTAAATATAATAAAATTAAAATTACGTATATATTGGTCGTTCCGAACAGTGATATTAGTCGTCATTGAATAACATATATTTATTTTCATCCCCGACCTACTTGTTATTATTTTTTTGTCTTAAGTTTATCATTTATCGATGTAATATATTAAAATAAACAAAAGTTCCAATGTTCGAGTTTTAATGAGTGTTTAATTGTTGATTTTTAAAACTCGTTTATACCCATTTTTACTGAAAATCAAATTTTGATAAATAATATATATATATATATATTGTGTCTCCAATTTATTTTTAGGTTATTGTTTTTGTTGAGTGTTTTATAATCTTATACACAAATTATTTTTTACTATTTTATTATTATATTGATATTGATTACAGATTATAATTTTTGTTAACTTATAGAAAAATTGTTTGCGACAAAAATAAGAATTAAAACCACAGTTATTTTTCGGGTTTTCTAGGTTTTTTCTTTCTGACGTTGTCAAGTTCCTCACGTTGAAGACGTTTTTTTTTCTGTCTTCGTAATTTTCAAGAGCAACTCCGGTGGCCCCAGCCACTTTAAATTATGCAATCTTACTTAAGAATTTGCAGACATCTCTTGCTCCATTAATATCCGCCTTTACCACCCCAGTGATATAATATGAAGTTGTAATTTGACATTTTTTGTATTTCCTGGAGCTCGCTTTCGCTAATAGTACATGGCACAAATTTTATTCTTGCTTGTTTAAAATAGCTTGTGACAATGTCTCCATTTACCACACACTCCCAGGAATAAATCAGCTTTCTAAAATTTTCATCGCCTGCTTGAATTCTGGGGAATCTATTTGAAGCATTTTCCAGCTTTTTTCAATCTTTTTTTCCTTTTTAATAAAGCGAATTTGTGGCAAAAATAATTGTTTTTGTCAGCCAAAAAAAATCCTTTAATTTGTGAATATTCCCAGTTCCTTTGGTTGACATAAGTGAGAACTATGTGGCACTTCCTTAATTAACGTGTTTTTCCATAAATAGATTTTGATTTCATCAGAAAAAAGGCCTGAAAACCCATCAAGTAACAGGAAAGCTTTTATATCGTCACGCACCCCCATTTGTTCTCTTTTTGTTTTGATTGTTGGGAAGAACACCCCTTTTAATTAAAGGGTAAATAATTCAGTATTCAAAACACCACATTTTAGTGTTCTTATCAAATCCCGACTTTTGAGGGATATAATAGCAACATCTTCCAGTAAAATTTTTTTTCGTTGTTACAAGTGGAATCATTTTGGTTCCATTATGGCATCCACAACACAAAAGACTTGTTCTGTAACTTTCTCTTTCAACATAATTAAACATATCTTGTTCTTTCAAAATTTATGCACTAACGATTTTCGAATGGTAATCGACCCATTGGTCAAATCAGACTTAATCAAGATTAAAAATGGGCTCAAACAGGCACCCGTCATTTTTTTCCAATTGGGTGTAATATTGCAAAATTGACTCGGGTGAAACTTCTGCTGATTTTGCTTTTAATACCAGTGCCATAACTGGTGGAATATTTAGAATATGAATCATAATTTTGTGCAATTGCTTGAACCTACCATTTTTTATCAAAATTTTCATAAATAAAAACTTGCTTCTTAATGTGTTTCCTTTTTTTGTTTTCTTTTTTTTTTGCTTT